GAAAGCAGTGTTTTTGTAAAGCTTGTAATTTTATAGGTCATCTTCCATTGAAAATCCCTCTCTTATGGTTTCTTCAGTATAATCTTGAAGATTAGAGGTCTCTGGGGAAGAAAGTGAGCTTCTTAAGATCAAAACTTGAACAAAATAGCTTTTTTTTTTTCAGGTGAACAAAGCTTGTAGCTCAGTATGAACTTTCCATGTGGAACTGTTCTGATGAAGAACAAAACCATTCAGAAGGTATCCACAGGCCATTGCTTTTAAATCCATCTGTGAATGTCAGTTAAATGAACACAGTTTTCATTATGATCAGAAAAATATTTTGGTGCATTCATGAGATGCTTGGCTTAGATGAGTTGTGTGTTGCAGCACCTTAAGGCTTGTGGTGACTTGCAAAGTATCTACACTATAATTAGGTTTCCTTCATGAGGCTCACATTTTGTTACCCTCTCCTTCCTCTGCACATGTGGAAAAATTGAAAATCAGATGGATAAAAAGATAAATAAAAATCTGAGGTGTAATTGTGGTGTAATTAATGCTTATTGAAGTTTTGGAAGCAAAGTAAACTTTAGCAGTTGAGCACAAGGAAAGGACAGTGTTAAGATGGTGTGAAAAGAATTCTGCATTAATGGCTATTTAATGACAGTCCAGTGAGAGGTATGGATTTGAGCTCCTTTAAAATCTGTAAAATGTTATAAACAACAATAAAGGGAGAAGTGAATAAACTATTCAGAACATGTCTGCACTCCATTTTTGAAGTTTGCAGCTTGAGAATGCACTGTTATTAGGAGGAAAATAGCAGCAGAGAGGGATTCATCTCACTTCTTACTAACCTGTCTCTATACTAACTCATGCTCAAATGCCCATTGGTGCTGAAGGAAAAATGAATAGGAGCCTTATTTCTTGCCTCTCTGTCCCACAAGTAAGATGTGCTGTCAACTTGGGATGAGCAACATGAGAAGATAGCTAGAAGTTGGGTTTTTTAAAATTTTATTTTATTTTATTTGGGCAGTATTTGCAAACAAGCTGAGGCTGCCTTCAGGGCCCCGATACTGCCAGATGCAGTAGTTCTGTACCTCCTCAGAAGATGTTAAACAAGTGTGGCTGTAGAGGTATGACTCAGTCTTCAGGCCACAGGAGGGATCTTTCAGAAGATACTGTACTGTAAGAATTGTACCACAAGTCTGTATTTTATATATAATATACATTTTGTATTTTTGAGACTCCTTGCAGAATCTTCTAGTCATTATGTTGTTGCTGGGAGGTACCTGGAGATATTCTGTGGCCCTTGTGCCACTGAAGTGATCCCGTTTTGTACCACCTGAATTTTGGAGCTATGTGGTCTCATTGTTTTGCTTGTGCTGTTCTGAATTCAGTAGAAAATACAGAACTATTGTAGAAACTGTATTGAAAGAGAGTACTTTGGTTTGTCTCCCATGCCCTAAATGCATGTGTTAGTGGCAGAGTGGTTAGTTTTAATGAGGAGGATATGCTGTGATATTTCGCCCTTTGTGTATTTGCTCTCCCAAATATTATTACCTAATTAGCTGTTTCCAAGGCTAAAAGAGGAAATTCTTCATACCAGACTTTATGTAAAGGCTGTCATAAAATAACTAACTTGCAGTTTCAGGAAGAGTATACCTACACCATTGAATTTATTCAATAGCTTTCTGATTAAAATTCATTCTTGAAAATTGAAGATAGCAGAGTGGTAAGGGAAGCTAAATCCCTTGGATTTCAACTCGGGAAGTTTCTTCCAGAGATCTGTTTGTTGGAGTCTGCTGCTGTTCCAAGTTGCAGACTGAGCCCTAGCAAGGCTGTGCTTGTTTTGCACAGATGTGCACACACAATACACATGTGAGTTTCCACAGTACAGGACAGGCAGCACATAAACATGAACAGCACTGGCAGCATAAGTTTATTCTTTCTTGTTGACTGATCAGGGCTGATGTTTGCTAGCAGAACTATGAACACCCTCACTCCTTTGATTCACAAGCACACGTGCTAAATAGTAGTGTGGGTCCTAAAGATGTTGGATACTCACATCATAGGGCCCTTATGCAGTTGCTGACCTTGACCTTGGGTTTTTTCCATGTGCTGGTCTTTCTACACAGTCTCATAGTGCCTTTCAAATATTCCATTTTAAGTTTGCTCAGCCCATGAGACTGATAAACGTAGATTGCCTGGTTTCTCTTGTTCTTACTAGTTTTGAAGTTCTGTTTGAACCTTGTGCTTTTGTGGTTCCTTTAGTGTCCATCTGTCAGTGACTTGTAAGTTCACATCTCTTGTTACTGTCTCCCTTACTGCTCATTAGGGTTAGTGTATTTGGTATTCACTTTATTATTACTACTTCTTCTTCTCCTCTTGTCTTTGTCTTAACAGGATATCATTGCAAACCACATTTTTGCACTCAAGATATCGCTACCACCCACATAGAAATAAACATGGAGTTCAAAAGGAGCATTTTTTAATGATTTTTGCATCAGCATGTAGGGGGTGAAGTTAGGAGAGAGATGGCAACTTTATTAATTT